TGCTTTCCACCTCATGCAAGGACAGGAAGGAGCTGCTAGGGCAGAAGTTGGAGCCTGGGCTGAGACCAGTACCCAGGGAAAGTAGCCTCCTTGGAGGCTTTGCTCAGGGATCAAAGCAGGGGCAGCAGAAAAGGGCTCGGTGTTAGCAGAGGGGTTGTGCTAGCCTATGCCCAAGAAGGGTTAGCAGTGGTACAAGGGCTGCCTTGTCTTCACTACTGGTCACAGCAGCCGGACCTACCACACATTGCACATTGCAGAATTACCCTTCTGCATCAGGACCCTCTGAGCCAGAGCTCAAGCCCATTTTGAGAACATGTTCTAGTACTCATCAACCACAACCAGCAAGATAAGGAGAAATCAAGGGTTCACAGCTGGGGGCGGAGGGAGGAAAAAGAAGGAAAAAAACCCTCTTCTGACTCATGCCTTAAAATCAAATCCACTTCAGGGGATTTAGCTCACACCAACATTCTGGTAGCACGCCTCTGGAGTGGGCACTGAGGTTCCAGCTGTTTTATGTGGTGTTCATTATATCTGCCTGCTACAGCCTGATTTTTATTGCTTTGGAAACATGTAAACCTCTTCTCTGTACATAGGTAAGCAAATCCTGGACGATATTACCCAGAGTGAGGGGAAGGGAATGGCTTAGCGGCTAACCTTAGCACGGAGCAGAAAGGCTGTGGTGCAGAGCAAACAACCTCCGTGGTCGGGTCTGTCAGTCAAATTCCTGGTGGACAATCAGCCCTTAAGATGTGATTCCTGTCCCGGAATAGCCCACACTTATGCCCTTAAGAGTTCATAAAAACCTGCGGGTGACTGCTCGTCGCGACGGCTAGGCCCCGCGGCGCAGCGGCGTTGGGTGAGCGCTGCCTGCCCCCTAGCGGGACGTCCACCGCTCGCGTCTGCCGCCGGGCGGCTGCGCTGCTCCAGCTCACCGTACGGCGTGGCTGCTTCCCCAGCGGCAGGGGCAGCCCTCGCGGGCGGGCACCAGGCTTCGTCCCCGGGCCGGTAGCAGCAGCAGTCCGATCACAAGGCGGTTTGTGACCCTCGTCTTAGACAATTACGTTTACAAGAAACAGCCTGTAGGGGACGCTGAAACAAGCTATGCTCTTAAGGAAATTGTTCCGTGCTCCTTTGCCTATGCACCACCAGTCCAAGTTGGCAGTTCACAAAAAAATTTAAAAAAAAAAAAGGAAAAAGGAAATCATGGGGCTGGTTTCACAAGGTACCTAGGTAGGTTTCTGGACAGGAAACCAAGCTCATGGCTTACATTCATCAGCAGCAACTAAGAAGCTGGAGATAGGGGCTGGATGCTAGTTTTCGTGCTAGTTAATAGGAACATTAGCAAGGTCCCTCAACTCGATGAATTTGCAGATGTCACTAACCTGAGCGGTGCAGCTGATACAAAAGAAGAAAGGGATGCCATCTGAAGGGACCTGGACAGGCTCAAAATTGGGCCCATGAGAATCTGTAGGGGTTCAACAAGGCCAAGTGGAAAATGTTGTACTTAAGTTCAGGCAATCCTAGACACAAGTACAGTCTGGGAGCAGAACTCACTGCGAGCAGTCTTAAGGAGAAGGACCTGCATGTCCTAGTGAATGAGAAGCTGGATATGAGCCAGCAGTGTGCTCTTGCATTCCAGAAGGACAACAGTGTCCCCGGCAGTGTCAGAAGAGGGGTGGCCAGCTGGGAGAGGGAGGGTAGGAGGGTATTGTTTCCCTCTGCTCTGCACCTCATGAGGCTCAATATGGAGTACTCTATCCAGGCCAGGGGCCTCCAGCACAAAAAAGATGTGGAACTGTTGGAGTGGGTCCAGAGAGGGGCCACAAAGATGACTGGAGGGCTGGAGCACATCTCCTATGAAGAAAAGTTAAGAAAGTTGAGCTCATTCTGCCTGGAGAAGAGAAGGCTCTGGGGAGACCTCACTGCAGTCTGCCAGTACTTGAAGGGAGCTCATAAGCAGGAAGGGAAGTGATTTTAATGCAATCTAACAGTGATAGGACAAGGGGAAATGACTTTAAACTAGAAAAAGGGAAATTTAGGTTAGACATTGGAAGAAATTCTTTTCTCAGAGGGTAGTGAGGCTCTGGAACAGAGAAGCTGTGGATGCCCCACCCTGGAGATATTCAAGGCCAGGCTAGATGATCAGGGCAAGGCTGCCCTGGGCAACCTGATTTGCTGGTTGGCAACAGCAACAGCAACAGCAAGGCTGGAGATTTTTAAGGTCCTTTCCAACCTATGCCATTCTATGATTCTGTTATTCTGTGAATAGTTTAGGGGCTCCCACAATGATTTGTTTCCAGGACTTACATGCAAATCCACCATGGTGGAAGATGCACCTGGTCCCCTTGCCTCCTAGATGAGGTGCTGGTAACAAGAAGGATTTAAATCCATCCAGAAGGCAGAGCCTCTGCATAAAGGGTACCCTCATCTGCAGTTTTACTGGCCAGCTGCAAGTCACTGCTACATGTAGTTTAAATATCATCTGAGCCCAGGCACGTCAAGCACTTGGTTATTTAACTGAGATTACCAGGTGGCAGCTGTGGAGGGTACCAGAGGTTGGTGGTGGATGGAAATAAGCAATATTTGAGTGTGCAGGATAGGGCGTGACCAGAAGCCTGAAATGGAGCCAAGGGATAGGAAGGCAGTGAGGTGAAGAGCTGGGTCTGTGCAAGCATGGAGACCAAGCAGAAGAATTTGTGCTGCCCACATGCAGGCTGCGGTGGAGGCTGGAACCAAGGTCGTATGGCCTGGGCAAGGAGGTTGGGGCTAGAATAAAAGAGGAAAAAAGTCTGAGGAAAACTGAGCAGAAAGCCAGCTTGTGGGCATGGTAAGGAGAGGCTCCTCTTTTCTAGAGGAGCTGTGGGTGTCCCAGAGCTCCTTCAGCTACCAGCACAGCGGGCAGCTGCAGCACCCACAGGTCCTGCATACTTCTCCCACCAGCAGGACATCAGGCAGAGGCAGTGTGAGGCCCAGGGATAGCAGGAGCCCAGGAGACTACATGAGGCCCAGGGGCTGCATGAGGCCCAAGGAGAGTACAAAGCTGAGAGAACCACAAGAGGCCCAGGCATGGCATGAGTCCCAGAAGGCCTCTCAGGGTCCACATAGGTAGGACAGCTCAGTGCTGCCAACTGTTTGTTAGCAGAGCTGGCAGAGCCCCTTGGGAGCATAGTGGAGTAGGCCTTTTAACCAGAAAGAGCTTTCCACTTTGTAACAGAGCTCTGTGGTCTGCAGTTAATCTCTCTAAATGGCCCCAAAGGTAAAGAGCTCTGAAGCAAAGGGTGAGCTAGTCATGATTTAGTCTTAAGCAACACACAGGAGCTAATTCACCTCATGCCAGGACTTGTGCTGCTGAGTAACAGCTGGATTTGACATCAGGAAAGGGAACATTGCTTTATACAGGAGGGACTTCATTAAAAGCAGGAGGTTAGATACAAAGGATATAAAACCCCCAAGTGTAATATAGGTCCGCAGTATGGCTGCTGAGTCCCTAAAATGTTTGCAGCACTGAATACAAACGGAAACCAGAAAGATAGGAGACATAAATATAACCAGGGTTCTCTGAGACAAAGAGAAAGACTTCAGAAATTTGATACAGATCCGCTTAATAGAAAGAACAAAGAGTACAGTCTAAGAAAGAAAAGGACTGAGGTGGATTTTGCCAAGTAAAAAGCATACAGTTTTAAAACAAACAACATCAAATAATCTAGATGCATCTGAACCAGGAAATGTGAAAGAAGAGGGAGAGATCTGATGATCAGACAAGCTATGAAGAATAATTAAGGGAGATAAAAATATTGATGACACGTTGCACAATTTCCCTGCATTACTCTTCATTGCTATGGATATTGGCACAGCTGTTAGCTAGCAATAACAATGAAATATCAGCAAAGAAAGAGATATCAGAAGAAGATATATAATGGAAGTAAATTTTGTCGTATGTCTGATGTTTATGGTGGAAATAAGGAATAAAGTAGTTAAACAGGTAACAGAAATAACAGTTAACATCCAAGAAGTTGGAGAAAACATAGTTTATCAATATTTAGGCCATAAATAATAAAAAAACTTAATCCTAGTCATAAATATTTGCATTACATCACTGCTAGCATAGAGGAGATGGTTTGCTTCTTTCTCTGTGCATTTACAAGTCTGAGAGTGGCTTTCTTCTCAGTGCAGCTATAAAGCTGATTTATGGACATGACATGGTGACTTTATAGAGATAGGTCTTCTTAGAGGCGAGAATCGTTCTCCTAGGCTGAATGTTCCTGGAGCTTCACCCTTCACCCTCATCTTACTGCCGAAAGAAAACAAAGCGCATTCTACTTTAAAATTATGAGAGATAGAAAACTTCTCAAAAACTCTATACCTTTGGATTCCATTTTTTTTTATACTAAGCTTTTTCTTCCCTTCTGCCATTCTCAACTCCTTTGTAAGCCCTAGTGATTTTATTTTTACTTAGCAATTTATTTTTATTTGTTATATCTTTATTTCCACTTTCCTCTCTGCCTCTCTTTCTCTCTACTGCCAGCCTATGCAAAACAATATATGGCCTAAAATGTAGGGAGATCCATGTTTATTTTCATACACTATGGATAATATATTTAAAACCCTGGATATTTGCTCAATAATACATATCCTGGAATCATATGCTGCAGGATAGTTCTGAGATTAGTAGAACTGTCAGGCATAAAATTGTATGATAATGGATTCAGTTTTCTTACAGTCTATACCACAATATTTCTGGGGAGGTAGAGGGTGTGTGTGTGTGTTTTGTTCTGTTTTGTTTTGTTCACATGTATTTTTGAAGTTTAAATCCAAAGTAACTTTTTTTTTTTTTTTCACTGTGAAAGAAATAGATGCAGACTTCTCTTTCCAAAGAACTAAGGAAGTGTTTAAAGAAAATTGATTTCAAACATAGCCATCTGGCCTCCTGCAAATTAATTTTACCCTTTTTCCTTCCTAGCTGCAATCAACCAACAGCATTTTTTTTCCTTTTTCTGCAGATCTGCTGTCTATCTGGTGTTGACATATGCCACACACTGATGTGAAGTTCCTTACTTGGTGAGTGAATCTCACCCAAATCCCCCAGTTCAGTTTTTGACAGTGTTAAATTGAAGTATGGTTGGAGCAGGAAATATTTCCATAAATGAGATTATTTTTCCCTCTGCAAATTCTGTTATAGTAATGAACAGATAATTGATATAGCATCCAACTCCCGGTGTCCTTGTCTGGATCTGTAAGCACCCCACATGTGATTCACAATAGGGCTGGAGTGCATTGCTGGCCCTTCTCACTTTCTGCCTCTGACCTTCCTTATGGCAGTCATCCTCAACCAGCTCTCAGACTGCACCTCACCTTAGGTCCTGGCAGCTGAAGGATCACGTGCCCATACAGCCTTGTGGTTTGCCCACTCTCTCCATGCCATGAGCTGTCCAAGATCCTGCATACAGAGTCAAATGCTGCTACAAAAAGAACTCATTCAAAACAAAGCCATCTGATATAACAGTTCCAAGTGTTTTGTGGCCAGTTCTCATTTGTTCTGATGGCCTTGTTCTGATGCAGCAGCCAGCAGCAGCAGTGGACACTGGGTGTAAGCAGCAGGTTGGAGAACTCCCTTCTCTGCTTTTATCCAGTAGAAACAGACAGAGGCCTGGGCACAGCACAACACTCCCAGAGCTTCATTGAGGCCATGTTTTGAAGTAGCCATCCTCTGATCACTAGCACTGAAGCTCAGGGCTTGGTTCTACAGGCTTTGGGGGAATTTGTCATTAAACCCACATAAAATCCCAAGATGTCAGAAGAACAAAAGGACTCAAACTGCAAGCACATTCTCATGCATCCACTCCAAGCATGCAGTTCTCATTCACATTTTTGGATCTGAAAGCTCCTTGGCAAGTATCCCTTTCTCATTTTACACCCACTGATGATGGATGTAGGCGTGTGTGTGTGTTACTGCTAATACCCAGAGCGAGCTCATTTTTGTTTTATGAGAGAATTCTGCTGAACTCATATTTTGGAAGATAGCATGCGATGCTCGCCAAATGCTAACATTGTTTTTCTTCACCCACGTTCTTCTGGGAGCCAGGGAGCAAGGTGCTGCCTGCCCCCTCCATCACACCATAGGCTGTCACACCTTGGTGCCTACAGCCCATAACTAATGCCAATGTCTCAGGAACAAATTGAGCCTTTAGTAAAAATCTCCTCGGAGCCTTTGATTTATTTGCTGAATTAGACATGTATTCCTTTCCAGAAGAAAGTGCATCAACTTAGCATGAAAGCTGTAAAAGACAACCTCATGCTTATTTCACTGGAACAGGCTGCCCAGGGTGGCTGTAGAGTCTCCTTCTCTGGAGATGTTCAAGACCTGCCTGGATGCCTACCTGTGCGACCTGCTGTAGGGAACCTGCTTTGGCAGGGGGCTTGGACTCCATGATCTCTGGACGTCCCTTCCAACCCCTACAATTCTGTGATTCTGAGATTCTGTGATTATTTTAAGGTAAAGGTTTTAATTATAAGTTGGAATAATATCAGTAGCCTAATCCAGTATGCTTTCTACATACAAATTAAATTTATAATATATTTTTCTTTTCTACCTTTTACTTCAGTCAAGTGTATTCTGATTGTCAAGGTCACACAGGACTCCTTGTCCTTGCTGTAAAACTGTTAGCTGATGCTAGTCAATTACCCAGAGCATCTGTAGTTTGCATCTATTGTTTTCTATTCTTCTTACCTAACCAACCATTTGAACAACAAACAGACTAAGCTATTTTCCTCAATTACTGATGCATGTGGCTCACCTGGTGTTTGTATTTCTGGGCTTGATTGTGTTGTCATTTTGCTTCTGTTTGGGATATTTATGAAAATTGGAAGGCGGGAAGAAATTTGGGTAGGTTTGTAGCAAGAGCTCAAAGACTGGAGCACAGCTTTTCAAAGGCCTCAAAAAGAGAATTTCTATATATCAATCATGCTGACACTTCTCTCTAACAGAAAGCTTTAATAGTCCATAAGGTTCCAATTTGTTGTTGGTTTTTTTTTTTATTTAAATCCTTATTTAGAAAACCAACTTGATTAATTTGGAAATACTAGAGGGTAATACTAAGCTAGGTTTCCAAAAGAACATCTTACCTAAGACAACCAAATGAAAATGTCGACAGAGGAAAAAAATTATTTCAATATTTTGTTCCTTAGCTGCGCATTTTAGAAAGCAGGAACATGTAATCTCCAACTGCTGTAACTGATAAATAAAGTATGAAACAGCTGGTCAGCATATTTTGGGACAGATTTTTCTGCATACTTTTGCAGCCGTGTGCCAAGCCCTGAGAAGACACAGTAAACCAGAGCCTCCACAAGTATACATAGGCCTGTTTTCAGTCAAATCACCAAAGTTGTCTTGTGACACTCAAAAAAGACCTGGTTCATAACATATATTTCAAATGTGAGCTGTTTCGTTCTTGGAGTTCTGAAGGAGAGAGAGGAATATCTTTAAAGAAAAAAGTAATTGTAGCAAATGATAGAAATACCTCTGAAACTCTCAGATTTAAGCATCATCACCCAGGCTGGACTTTAACTTCTTGCACCTCTCCCATGCAATCGGAACAGGGCAGCCATGTCAATGGCACTTCTGAAGAACTCTCCTAGGTCCACTTGGCTGCTTCTGCAGAACAGGTTACACTGTAAGTGAGAGGCTCCCTGCTCACTGCAACACTGTCCTCCAGTCCCGGAAGTGCAGCTTTGTTGACTTTCAAAGATCTGCTTTAGGTCTACACAAGATTAGGGTGACCAGGATGGAAGCATTTAAAGAATAGTCAATTTTATTTAAATTTGTTGATGTTATTCTTATCATCACACAGATCCAAGCCAGCAGTCAGTGCCTGCTCCCTGCAGGTTACAGCCAGGAGATGAAGGAGCCAGAAGTAGCCCAGGAGGCATCAGATTCAGTTGCAGGGATTTAGAAGCCACGGTGTAATCTAGCAAACATGCTACTTTAACCAAGTACCATATACTTTTTTATTCTTTTCCTTTTGCGAAATCAGCTTATAAGTTGTTTTTACTTTTCCATGAAGATCTAACATATTCTCAAGCCCTTAGAAAGGATTCTATTGGCTTCACAAAAGTTTGGATCATGCCTTTAGCAATCCACCCGTAGAAAAAAAAAGGGGGGATAAAAAGAAAGCAGTGACTGTTTCTTTCTTTCCTTGCAGATTTGTATTGAAAGAAAAAGGGTCAGAATTTTTTCTATGCTATAATCAGGCATAGAGCTTTGAACAAAGATCAATGCCAGCATCCCACTCTGGAGGCGCCTACACTTCAAAATCCTTCCCTATCAGACAAGATTCCAAAGGATACTCTTGAATTTCTTCTGTGGTAAAAATGGGATATTTGGCAGGGGCAGTGGTATGTATTTACATGACTGACACAGTGAGAAATGTTTTCACAAGTAATGGCTGAAGGTAGGAAGAGGCTGCTCACCTATCTGCACTCCGCCACTTGTGTGTTTAAGAGGTCACATTTTCTTTAAATAACAAGTTCAACATAAGTCTACAGGAGAGATGTTTTCTTCTCCCAGCACAGGCATAATGTACACCTTCATGTATCTCACATCTCAGAGCAGTAACATACTCCAGGGCAAGTCACCTTCTTGATCATCCATTCTCAGGATGGCATTGTTACCCATGGAGCAGCTAACCAGAGAGCCTTGATGTTCACTCAGTGTGGTCTTGTAGGTGGATGTGAGTATCACATCCAGGCTAAGTGAGGGACCTTGAACACACAGAAGCTATAGTTACTCCCTGTTATATATAATAATATTTGTATTTACAGGATGAGCAGGAGGCCTGAGCATCTGTGTGTGATTTACTGGTTACTGACCTGTTAAATATTTGTTGCTAGGGAATGCTGCAATTGTGTTTTCACACAATGAAAGTGCCCTGGTTGTAAAAATCACCTTTGTACTACTTATAGCGCAAGGAATGTCATAGTTTCCAAATCCACTTAACCACCTAAGTAATATACTTTAACATGAGAATCTGATTCATTTTGCATTTTAATAGGTAAATGCAGTGCAAATTTGAGACATAGCAGCAGGCATTGCATTTGTAGCTAATTAAGGAAAACTGGATTGAGCCCAGATGTGGATTATGCAAAGTGATTACTGGTGTTCCTTAGAAGCTAATAATTTTGAAAGCATTTCCTTGTGCTTGTTCACTTTTTAAGTATGCCAAGATTAAAAAAAAAAAAAAAAGCTTCTGAAAGGGGGAAAATAGGCTTCCACAGAATAAAGCTATCAATGGCAATTACTTCTATCGTTTCAAATTGATGTGTATGGTAGTAACAGTTGCAGCCATTCTTTAAACCAAAACCTGCCAATGTGATTTCCAAAGTGAGCACAGCAAATAGTTTTCAGCTACTGAGTTAACAAACATAGAGCTTGGCATCCACTCCAATTCCCACTGGAACAATTTGTGACATTACGATATTTCATTTTTGTTCCAGAAAAAAAGACAACATAATAAATGTTAATTGTTAAAGATAAGATGGTGCTATGTCTAATTCCACCAAACAGCAGAGTGAACGAAGCTGTGGAGAACAATGGAGAACAAAGATAGTCCACCTGAGGAAAGGAGGCAGAATCTGGCTACCTAGAAGTTAAAGAATGATAGCACTATGTCAGGATCTTTAATAAAGCACTAAGAGATACAAAAGACTTGCTATGTAAATAAGCAACTCAATAAGTTTAATTTTTTTTTTTTTTAACATAAACTGATTTTAATATTTTTGATAGGTTATCAAATATCCATCAGAAGCCTAGGGGAAGAAACTGCCAGAAAAATATAAGCAGTTTGAAGCTTGAATTTATGCTGTTTTTGTGGTGGGAAACTTGCCCAAGTGTTTGATTTTACAAAGCTGACAAGTGGTTTGGCAGTATCCACAGAAGCTTCTGCCTTCTTTCTTTTCCCTTTTTTTTTTTTTTAATTTGTATTGATCTTGCTGTTAAATGCTAGTGATTCAGCATAACTCAGCCTTAGACACTTTTCAATTAAAAATATTGCCATTCTGAAATGCAGCCATTATAAATTTATATGATTTTTAAACACAATATGTCTCTCCTGGGTCTTTGTAATCAGTTTTTGAATTATTTTTCTCTATTTGTTGTAATTATGTTGGCAAATATTGCGGCATACAAAATAAATTTTGGTGGTGAAACAGAACAGACAAAATTTTCCATTTCCATTCTGTCTTGTTTGCACTAAACTGGACTCTCTTATATTTTGTTTCTGTTTCTAAAGATATTTACACCATTTATTACTATCGTGCAAGCAAAAGGGAATTTTTTTACTCTGCACTTTCTCAGGCTATTGTCTCACATCCACAGCACTCACTCATAAGTCACTTTCAGCCCACAGATGCTGAGATGTCAAAGCAGACATGAGAGGTAGATACAGCCACACAGCTTACTGCAACAGGGTGCTGTAAGTCAAGTGCTGCATAGGCAGCCTTTGACTGGAAAACTTTGCAACCAAGGCAACAGGCAGGAAGGGGATGCAGACAGTGAGTGCAGGACAACACTTCTCACTGTCCCAGAAGTTCAACTGCTATCAGCTTTTTTGAGGCACCAGCAAAAAGGATGGTCTTGAAAGAAAACAAGGATGTTTTGGAGCTGTTTCCCACAATTCTCCTTGAATGAGAGAATGATATCAGAAGTGAAAGCTCAAAGGCACTTGTTGGTTGTTTAGGAAAGTGTTGAAATCCTAGTCATCTGGGAAATTTTCAGTTAGTCTGGACAAGATAAATGTGTGGTAGGACAGGATCATGGGGAAGAAGGTTGTTGGATGTTGGTAACTGTTTTCTCTAGTAATTTTATTAAAAGAGACAACAGTGGACACAAATAATTCAAGTTGCACACTACAGATTTTCTTAAGATTCAGAGCAATATCATGCTGCATAAAAGATGTGTTATCAACACGTATTTAATTATATCAATTGAAACCCAAACAGAGGCATTTGCCAAAAAAAAAAAAAAAAAGTAGTGACAGGATAGTGAATAATTTTTGCACACAGGCCTGACCTATGTTTAATCAAAGTGAGTGAGAATGAAAACACTCCAGCCTTAAAGAAATATATTTCAACTATTGTCCTGACTTTGCTGGACGCACAGAACTATACAGACAAAATAGTCTTCATTAAATAGGGAAGTCATACACTGCATTCAGTAGCCTGATATGGAGCTATTACCTTATACACAGACATATGCTGTTTGTTTTTTTTTTTCCATTTACTCACAAAACATCTGCTCTCTTCTTTGCTTAAATTTTGGCCTCAGTAGAAAGCAGCTTTTACTTTCTCAGCAAAATATTCCTAAATATAGCGATAAATACGGGAAAATATGTTACTATCTATGTGCATGCAGTGAAGAAATAAACGTGTCTATAAAGGTAATGTTTTATTCCAGCCCTATTATTAAAGCCTTGATTGTAAGATCTCTGGTCTGTTTTTCATTTCTTACAATGTTTGAATTTTTAAAAGCAATTACCAACAAAGTCTGGCAGAGGTAAAGTTGATTTTAAACCTTTCCAGTTTCAGTAATATACGCAAGTGTTAACAGCTCAGTTAAAGATGTTTCTAGGAGTACACAAGAAAAAATACTATTCTCCTATCCATCCCAGCAATACAAGAACTTAACTTCTGATTTGTGTTTTGATAGCATTTTTGGAGACTGAGGCTAAAGCATCAACAAGTTTCCCATGTACAGCTCTTAAAAACATCTGTACCTTTAATTGCAATTTCCAGAGTATTACTGCAGGACAACAAAGCAAATATCCTTCACGTGATTTGGCCTTTTCAAAGATTTCTGCGGAGTTTCTTAACAGTCCTTCAGTTTCTTAGTCAAAGAGACCTCTTTAAGTAAAACAAAGCTGTGTTTTCCCTCTGGCTTCAAGGTTGTCAACATAAATCCTACAGAACACAACACAGTGCGGGTGCAGTTCTGAAGAATTTGTGGCCTCCTAACTTTTATTCTCCAGTGTGTACTGGAAGCACCTGTAAAAAAGGAGTGAGATGCTCTCTGAAGGCCATGATGGGAGCCCCCCAGCCTCTCAATGCATGTTATCTGTCTCAGCGCATGTTATCTGTGTTTCAGTGTGTCCCATCACTGCCCTCAATACAACTTCTCACTACAGTGCTCCACATTAGGAGTCCCACCAGCATTGTGCTCATTTTCTCAGCTCCAGTGCTTCTCCCAGTGCCCTGGTTACCACTGAGATTTCTCCCCAGGCCTTGCTAAACTGTGATTTTGAAAGGTTTCATCTCAAAACCAGGAATCTGACCAGATTTCTTTGAAAATGGGACTAGTTTCATTCAAACCACGTCATAAACTTCAACAGAGTCTGGGTTTTGACTTCCTTGTGAAACTTGAAACCACATGTGTTCCACATGCTTTAGGGTTTTGTTGTGAATATCTTACACAGCTCTCTGGGAATAACCTTTTCTTGTGGGCTTTTAGCATTTCCTATCCCAGCCAGAACCATAAAAAGCAAAGACTGGAAAATATGAAAGCTAAAATTATGTGGGAAAAGAGAGGACTTAACTTTTTAAGCCTCAGACAAAGTTTGTGTTCATTTAGAGCTCAGAGTAAAGTTTTGAATTAATCCTTGTTTTATTTAAACTGTTAGCCTTAATTAGGTGCACTCACGAGAAATCACTTCCGCTCTAATACAGAATCATAGAACTTGCAACACATGGAAATTATAAACACTTTGGAGTGACATGAGAGATGGGTGTTGGCTCTGCAGCAGCAGAAGAGCAAATATTTACAGTACATTAGGTTTTGCTTCGCTCCTAAATTATTATCTTCCCCTCTGGAATAGTTTATTTTCCAAAGACAGATTGCTACTTTTGCCAGTCCCCTCCCCATCAGCACCATGGCAGGCAATTCTTTTTCCTATATTTCTGTATTGAACTTTCTTGTTCTAGCTCTCCACAGATCCAAACGAGAACTAAGAAGTTCTTAATTTGCTGTCTCTTTTGTCCCTGAATCACACTTGAGCCTCTGGAATTATTGTAGTCCTCTGAGCTCCTCTGGTTTCTCATTTTCAAAATAAAGATACCAAATGTTAACTTCTTAACAGAGGTGTTAATTCATATCCATAAGAGGACTTTAAAATAGAAAGTGATATGTAATGTTAATTAGTGGTATTATGATTGCTTATTCCAAAAGCCCAAAGAAGCTGTTACTTTACGGATTACTTAAGTCAATGCTAAAATATTGCCATCTTTGATCTCACAGGATTCAGCTATGGAAAGTTAAATAGAATAAAAGAAACACTATGGCATAAAGGGGAAGAAATAATTACACATAGCATTTTTATTCCCCTGGTATAAATCTGCAGTGCATGATGTGCCGTTAGGTTCTGCAGTAAATGTACAACATCCTGGCTTTGCGCTTACAATAGCTAAAACCATCTGCGTACGTGTAAAACCTTTGCTGGCAGGTTTCCATGTGTGGTTCATGCATTCCTTTGCCTGTGCAATTTGAACCTGTCAAAAACTAATTAAATAATTATGTGGTTGTTACTGCAGCTGTGTGTATTCTTCATTACGCTGCAAGGCTGCGGTTTGAGGCGCTCTCCTGCTCTGGGTTTCAAAATATTAGTAATGGAAGGTGTGTTGTCGGTGCGTGTTCTGCTGCTGCCAGAAAAAGCAGAGAGGGAAGGGAACCATTTTAATATCAGTTTGTCACCACACTTTTTACTGCATTTTCCGATTACACAACACAGAGATGAAAATAAAAGTTAGCTCCTTGCGCAGGCAGAATTCTGCGTGGCCTGCCCTGCATGCAGGATCTCGGGAAATCCCTGAAGGGCCCTTCTGGCAGGTGTGTGACCAAAGAGCGGCTCTGCAGCGCTTCCAGGCCTGCAGAGGTGGACTGTGGGTTGACAGCAGGAAAGTGAGACAGAGAGTGGTCTCCTCCTAGACCAGGCCCAGGCCGCTCTTAGCCCCGCTCCTGACTCAGCCCCATGGGCCCCTCCTCCCTGTGACTGGATTTGGGGTGACAGTGTGTCATCTCCTCCAAGAACAAATTGAGTTGACTTAGCAGCAATTGCAATTAATCTTGATCTTAGCCTGAGGTGCTGTACAGATGTAACACAGCATTGCTTAATTTAGTCTTTGGCCAAATTATGACACTGTCACTCACCAACATAAGTTTTCCATTGAATAACAAGAAACTGTCTCTGCAGTAAAATAATTCCTGGCTCCACTACCTAGTGGAAATAACTTTTGTAATGATAAAAACATAGCTATCATTTACATTGACTAAAACAGCGTAAGTGGGCAGCAGAAGGGCAGTCAGTGGACACAGGACATAACCCTACCTTGTGTCTGTTGACCATGTGCAACAGAAGAAGAGGAAGCAGCCCATTGTGAAGGCAGGTAAGATCTCCTCATCAGGAAAGGTATTTCTCAGGACCACTTAATGAAGCTGCTCAGTCAGCCCATAGGTAGATAGAGCTGTTATTTCCATAACAAAACAGAAGATATCAAGGATGTTTTCCATTGCTGTGGAAGAAATGCCCTGTTTCCACATTTTAGAATTTTAGAAACAGCACAGCTGTTGGAGTAACAGCAGCAACAGCAAAGCTGACTGTTACAGAATATCTCCAATTTATTATATTTATGGAGCAACTTTAGTTTTAATAAGGCTTTCCTCTAATTTGTGGAACTGTATCATCACATCTACAGTTGTCTGCTTGGCTAAATGTTCAAAAATACTAATAACGGGAAAATTCCAGACACTGACTTTTTAAAAAATATTTTTCTTGTATGCACCCACGGTATAATACATCAGGGTAGATGCTTTCCTCCTCATGTTTTCACATGATTTATAACTATTGGCCTAGAAGATACAGTCTTTCTCCGTCTGCTCAACAATCATTTATTACCTAAAGCAATTTGTTTGGTAAGTGCCCTTCTCAGATCTTCCCACAGAAAGCATGCAGGTGAGTAGTAAAAAATTCCTGAAAACTAAAGCTAGGAGACAAAAAAGCTGCTTTCAGAAAATCCAGG